CGGTGAGATAAGGTCAACTCAACTGTGCTAATAGCAATTCATATGGATTGTACGCAAAGTCCAATTTTAACAAGCAGAACTGCATGCGTTCCATGGACACCCATAGTTTTCAATCATTCAACTGCCGTACACACGCGCCATGCACAACAAAAACAAACTCGTATATATTGCCGGTTGGCCGCTTTCTCTCTATCACTGGTTGTTTTGCATGGCTGTCTGTCATCGTTTGTCGCTTCGGCAATTCTGAAAGACACTAGCCAAATATGTGCTTCACATATTTACATTTGTATATATATTTACAGTTCGGCTGGGCGTTGGAGTCCTGCCTGTCGCGGACAATTCGCTTTTGTATTCTTCGCCTATGACAGTGACACTTTTTCCGACGAAATGTCGAATTAATTTCTTGCTTCCTCTCTCTGCGTTCTGACCGTACTGCGTTGTTGCTGGCAAAGCATTTATCGCATTATTGTTGTTGCTGCACCATTGTTATTTTTCGGTTATAAAAACAATATACGATTTACTGATAACCACGCTTTTCGACAAATCTCTCATGTGTTGCACAACACTTAGATATACGGATGTATATCCGGAGGTTTGCATACAAAACTCTGCATTGAAACCTCCAATTAAGTTGTTAGCGAAAAAGTCACACAATTGTTTTATGCGAAAATTCATACCACAGCACTTTTTATTACATCCTTTATTAATACAAAAATTGAATTTAATATTATTTGAAAATAGGGCAGTATACTTGTGGAACAGACCAATAATATATTTGTATTTTATTTATTTAGTTTTTTTCGATGAATAGCCGATTGGAATTCACATCTCACTTGCTATCTATGTTAGGGCTCCGCCTTCTCTAATATTATATAAATATATATGCAGCATATGAAAGCAATCTAAAATGTATCCTATACAATCAAAACTATGGTTATATCGATATTGAAGTGATAAAACCGCTTGCTATTTTATTTGTATTATATTTGAGCAGGCAAATTTAAGGGACCTTTAGCAGTGTGGTGCGAATCGAGACCTTCCAATATACGTTGAATCGCAAATAGATTTTGTGATTTCAAGTCAAAATAAAAGGTTGGCTTATCATACAGAAAATAATTAATATTATACAAAGTAAAAATTTCTCATGTACTAGGCGGCATTTCGCAACCCTAGTGTTGCAATTTAGCGACATAAAAACGCTATTTGTGTTGTTTACAGTAACTTAAAATATTCATCTCGGCCAAAAAATTGAATTAAATCGCAAAGATTTTCGCGCGATTAGTTTTTACAACTATCGACGTGGAACTCAGCAACTGTGCATCGATGTACTTAAATCAATTTTTGGCGATTAAGCTTCATCAAGGACCAGTGTTTATTGATGGTATGGTGAATTCAATCGAGGTCAAAGATCACTCCAAGACGAATTTCGTCAAGGTCGTTCAAAATCAGTTGTTGTTTCGGAAATTATTGCTGTTGTGCGCAAATTAATATTGCAAGATCGTCATATGAACTATCGTTAGATTGAAACAACTATAGGCATTAAAGGGACCAGCATACATTCAATATTGCATGAACATTTGACTGCAAAAACAATTTGTCCACTTGGATCGCACACAATTTGTCAATCGCTCAAAAAGAGGTTTGTGTCGATTGGTTGAGAGAGAAGTTCAAAAATACGATAGCGGTGCGTCGAAACACGTCTATGACATCGTGACAGTTGATAGATCGTAGATTTACGCGTATTTGCCCGAGAGTCAACATCAGTCGACTGTATGGGTGTTTTCAGATGAGATGTTTTTAGAAAAACTGGACAAGTCGCAACCATACCAATAGAACAACACATAACAGTAAATTCTGAGTGGTACACAACCGTTTGTTTGGAAGCTCGCACATATCGACTGAAACAACTGCATTTTTGAGAACGCAAAACATCGATTCGATGAGTTATCCACCGTAAAGACCTGACTTGGCACCGAAAGACTTCTTTCTATTTCCGTACGTAGAAAATAAACTAAGTGGTCAAGTGTCGAAAAACACCTGAAGAGGCTGTTGATGCGTTCAGAACGCATTTTGTGAAGATACCTTAGTCAGAGAGGCAAATGTGTTTCGATAATTGGTTCATACGCATGCTAAAGCCTATAGATAATAATAGAGAACATTTATAAAAACAATAAAGCGGTTTTTGATTATAACATTATTTGATTTTGTTCCCTAATCTCGAAATATGAAAGGCAACCGTCATACGTGGGTAATTTTTAATGTAATATTAATTATTTTCTATGTTTCAAGCCAACCTCTTATTTTGACTCTGAAAATCAGAACATCTATAGTTAAAAAATTTGAAAGTGCAGCAAACCAATTATTTATTTCGGCTCTTCGTTTAATGACTTAAACTCGGCAGCTTGTTTCTTTGATTTTTTCACAAAACTGTGTCAGTTTGAAGTGCAAGAATTTATCTATAGGTACTTCAAAAAATCATTGTTCATATTTGATATACATATGTATGTATGTACATACCCTGCAAAAAATGCGACAAATCCGAAATAGGTCCGCGATTCGTCGCAGACGAACATGTGCCTAATACCACTTTTTATTTTTTTATATGAAACGAACTGTTCCCTTTTGCTTGAGCATGTCCTTTGAAGAGACTAATTGTACCCTTTTGGAGAGACTAATTGTGCTCAACTTTTTACAGACTAGTCACTTTTTACACCCTATTATGCACTAGTCTGTTTTTACACAATTATTCCACATACTAAATAAATACAGTTTAATTTTTTGAAGAAAGACTGAAAAAAATGATAACTAACTATACCCAAAAAATATTAATTTGGGATTAATTACTACCTAATGGTATCCTAAAGATATATATTGGAGACTAATGCTTTCCAAATTGTACGCTTTAGAGAGTAATCCAGGAATATTCGCAAAAATTTGTTTAAGGGTACAGATATATAAACTATCGTTTTATTAATTTCATACCAATCCCATTTGGTATTACAAAATTTTACTTTAACGTTAAGTTAAACTCACGTGCGCGTAAATATGTACGAGTATATATACTCGTATATACATAAATGAATATATACTTGTATGTGTGAAAAAACCAAAGGCGTCCATATTTGTATGTGTAGTGCAAAAATTACAAATTGTAGTTATTGTTCACCGCTTAATTTATTTTCGTTAATACGATTAGACTGCTTTGGCGAACGCAAAAAATGTTGCACGTGACCAAAATTTATATAATGCTTCACTATTCGATTGCAAAATAGATTTTTTGGATGTTTAAAACTGTTGGGTGTGATAAACAAATGTACATACATACTTGTATGTATGTTTAGTCTATATACGGGATAAATACGTTTATAACAATGCAAGTCTGAAAATATTTGAGCGAAAGTAAAAAGGCTACACAAATATGGGAAGTTTATGAAATGTCAAGATGAAAATTGAAGCGAGACAAGAACAAAGATATTATTTGACTCTGTGAGGAAAATAGTATGATTTATTATATTTATTTTAGTATAAGGCTTATGCTTAGTTTTACATATTTTTGAAGTTTTTAAAAATTAATTTGTTTATTTCATATTTCGATAGGTTACACTTTTAAAAATGACATACTAAAATCAATATCTCAAATCCTTTTGAAGTTAAATTTTTAAAAACACCTCCGTTTTGTCAATTTTTATTTATTTACCTTTTTATCTTCCATATCTTCTAGTGGAAAAATTTAGTTAAGTTTCATCCACGGAGAAGGCCGGAATCCCTGCAGAATAGTGAAGAGTTGTTATGACTCCTTATCTCTAGCAACAAGTTACTACATGGTTAGACCTATTTGGTGCCTGGCCACAGCGGTATTGCAAAAAATTAAAAAGGTGATGAGCTTACCAGAATGGGTACTTCAGACTCAATAACTGAGAAATGGCTACGGGTCAAATTGTTGGGCCTTAGAACAGCTCAGCAAGCGTTTGTCAACTACTAACAGCTGTGCAGTACAGGCCTAAAGAATTATTCGCTCTCAGTGAAGTTGACCTTTCAAGGGTTGCAGGAGTTCTACCTGGCACTGTCCGATCGGGATTCATACGGTAAGATAGAACATTTTACCAGATGCCAATTGCATCAGCTGTTTGAAAGAAAATAATGTAGAATCATTTCAACACTTCCTCTTCGAATGTGCAATCTTTGCCAGATCAAGGCAAAAGCACATCGGATATCATAGTTTTAGATATACAGCTGAAAGAGCGAAAGTAGAAATTAAGCTCAGAAACAGAGAGCTGATATCATATTACAGGAGATCATCTGGCTTCACAAAGGACTGTACATAATAAGCCAAGCGTGATTTCCCGACACGCGAAGTGATCAGTCATCTAACCTAACCTTAACATTTTCTATGAGTGTTACACTAGAGAAGCATCTGCATACATATGGACAAATATGTGTTTGTAGGTACTTATGTTTTTTGTTAGTCACAATTCTTCGCTTTTTTAAACATATCTAGACATGTCAACAAAAATAAGAGGTACTTTTGCCCGTGAATGGAGGCATTTTTTCTCGACGTTTCAATGTTAAAAGCAAACCCTAATGGATTGCACGCGCAATCCAAATAATACTACAACAAACAATGGCTTCAAATTAAAGTCGACAACGACATGCCACAAACAACAGCAAATGCAAATTGCATGTAAATTAGCACAACTCACTGGGATTTTTCGCAAAAAGCGCAACAGGTAGTAACACTCTAACACATATACTTACAAACATAAATACCTAGATGACATACATATGTATATTCGAGAATATACATATCGATATTACATACATGCATACATACTAGTAATCATACATGTACATGTATGGTATGAGTGTACAGAACACAATGAACAACAAAGATTGCATGTGCAATCAGACTTACTTATAAGCTGGCGAGACTTGTGACAGTACAACAAAAAAAAACAAAAAAGAGGCATCCCAAGCAAGATTAGTTGTGACAACAGTGCTTGGGAAAAAGTTAGCGATCTCGCGTGTGCGTTAATAAATAGTGGTTACTAAATTAGCAAGATCATGTGAGAGTCATTCGTGAAATAATATTTGATGAATAAATGTGAAAGAAAATGAAGCGCGAAAAAATAATAAAATTAATAGATATATAAATATAAATATATATATATATATATATTGGTAGATAAATATAATATCTAGGCAATAAAGAAAATTTGAAAGTTTCAACAGCGGAATATCTAAATGAAACAATCCTCCTAATAAATTGAGAATTGTCCATGTAAGCCATCCCATCATTGTATAATGAACAAAGTATATTAAGTTTGCAACTCCTAGAAGGAAACGTCGGAGACGCTATAAAGTAAATATATAAATAATCAGAGTGGCGAGCTGAGTTGATTTAGTCATGTCCTTCCTTCTGTTGGCTTGTACATATATACGTGAACTAGTCTCACAGTTTTAGATACATCGATATCGAATTTTGCACACGTTCTTTTCTCCCCAAGAAGCTGCTCATATGTCGGAACCGCCAATATTGGACCACTATAGCATATAGCTGCCATAAAAACTGAAAGGTCGGAATCAAGGGATTGTATGAAAAACTTTTTTTATTAGAAGAAATACCTTCACAAATTTAGCATAGGTTATTTTCCAAGACAATGGTACAATCTCTAAAGAATATGTTTAGATCGATTTGCTAAAGCATATAGCTGCCATGCAAACTGAACCATAAGAATCAAGTATTTGTATGGAAAAATGGTTCATTTGTATATGTATAATATTAGATATCTTTACCAAATCCGGCATGGAACTTTGATCATTTGGATTTGTAAAGGGTGTTGTAATTTCGGTGCAACCAAGCTATCGTTTTTCTTGGTTTTCGTTTAGGAATTTCGCACTTACTTCTTAAAGTTCAGACCTGTGTTGTGTCGCACCACTACCGTCAAAAATCTACTATAGCAGAATAGCGATGAAGATTTAGCAAGTTACACGTACACCATCAACTCTTCTCAAGTCCCCACAAAATCGTAAATAAAATAGTGTCAACAGAAGAGAAATCAAGCAAACCATCGAGCATCAAACTTTCTATCTGAACATGTAAGCCATGTTCGTCGAAAATCGAGAAAGAAGTACTCTCTGAATTATAAGAGTTTGGGGATATTCGAAAGATGTTTTAAAATACAATATAAATTTATAAATTTTTCGTCAAGTTTTTTTCAACCAATGCAAATTTAAGAATTTACAGATTGTACACTATGGAAACGAAACACTCTGGCACCGTAATTGAATGAGTAACTCATCATATTATTGTCACTTGGTTGTCACTTTAAGTTAACGTCAGTGAGACAAGCAATCTCTATTCATTTGTGATGTTTGAGTAAATAATTGACAGGCAAATAGTAAAACTGGCGAAAAATCGCGAGATGTGTGAAAATAAAATAAATAATAACAAGAAGCAAAAACGAAAAATAAAATTAAAATTATTAGTGTATTTATGCTTGTATTTCTATTTTATATTTATTTATGAGGAAACAAGCGTAATACATAAAAACAAACCTTAAAAAAATGTAGAATAACTGAAACTGTGTACCATTATTCCAATTTTCTAAAAGATTTTCTTCGCTTTTTTGGTGATTGTTCCAGTAGAATATATTTAGTTGACGTCATCTCTTTCTGTTTTTTATATTCCTGTTACTTATTTAATGCGTATTCCTTACACAGATGTACTGGTTTATAAAATATTTTCAGAAAACAGACCATCCCACGGCCAACATATGTGTGTGCGAAGAATAAAATCGAAGCAAAAAAAATAATTTTTTTTTAAATTAATAGCAAGGTCATGTTTATATATTATTTTTATAAAACCAAAGAAATCGATTTAAAGGAAGAAATTTTCTAAAGGATATGAACATTCAGAATCCAGTCGGTATAAAAGCAGTAAGAAATAGAATTACCAACTATCAGAAACATGCCACAACAGAAATAAAAAAGACAAAACAAAAAAACAAAGATGTGGTTCAAGATTATTGTTTTCATTTCATTATAGAATCACTTTGAAAATTTAAAAGGTCATAATAAACATAGAAAAATTACTCGTTTATCCTCTTTCTGGTTTAAGCAGCAATTGTTTAACAAAAAAGTAGGGTTTAGTTTAGACACGAAACTCGTTTTATCCACTTTTTGTGTACTAACAACCAGTTTTTAGTAACAGTAAGAGTAACCCATTTAATAGAAACAAATTGTTTAGCCCGCCTGGCATCAACGGTGAGTTCAGATACGTCGTAAACTGTTTCAATGAAAAATCATTCCTAAATTAAATCAGATGAAAAAACTCCGTTTTCTTGTTGAAAAATGTAAATTTAATTTGCCAATAAATTGAATCAATTGTAATTGAAATAAATTGAAAAAATCAAACTTGTGAATGAATGAATAAATATATAATATATGTAAAATTCAGTGGAAATATGTTAATAATGTCTAAAATGTACACGAATAATAACAGATTTCGCAAGCGTTCATGCAAATCAAACGCCTCAGATGGACGAAAGCGAGTAAGCCACTGAATATTGGTTGAAATTAAAAACGGAATGTTTACAACGACGAACAAAAGCGACAACTCATTGCGGTGTTATGCAATCAAATGTCAAGTTCGCAGTCAATTAGAATTGCTAACGTGCGCTCAACAATTCAGCAGAGTGGAGAGACAAGTCAGGAGACATTGAAATTTCAATAACGAGTATTCACAGCAAGCTAACTACAAGTAATTTCGCCAACGAATAAATGTTTGCCGATTTTAGGTGGAGGGAAAAATGCTACGTATTAGCAATGCAATAAATGGTTACAAGGCGTATGGACACAGGTGATTGAAGAATGCGCAGTAAAAATTGTAAATTATTTACTTTTTGATTGCATATTTATTAAATGAAATAAAAATTTAGTAAGCACTTAGTTAGAAATGTCAAACAACTTACTTAAACTCGAATGCTTTAAGAATAAGCGGCTGTTATAGGGTGTTTTATAATTATTTTTTCAAAAACAGTGATGACTTTAAAGTAAATAAGCATCATCGATTATTTTTTTCCTCTTATTAACGTCGGCTTGCTATCGGCATAAGATCAGTTTTTTCCGAACCAGAACAAATACTTTTAATTCCGGCTGAACTAACGATAATTTAATAACGATAATAATAGTGATAATGGAACGTAGAAATAGTTTACAATTCTAATGAAGTTCAGATATAGGTATATTTGTCGCTTGACCTGCCATAATGAATGTTTTTTTGAACTTTGAACTTTGGCACGTTATAAGTACACATGCTATTACTACATTATCACATTTATAGACAATGGAAGCTCAAGTGTTATTAAATTTATTTGCTGAGTCACTGCACACTGAACTGACTTTTAGAATGATATGCAGATTTACGATTTTCTTTTACTCAAATTTGTATGCATGTATGTCTATGTGTAAGTAAATCATGATGAGTAAAAATGCCAAGCAGAATGTGACAAACATTTTTGTTTTATTTAAATTTTTTTTATCATAACAGCCTTGAAGGTAACGCATTCTGCAAAGCAATTGCCTTTAGAGCCCACCGAGAAGAGAGAAAAACAAAATGGCAATTTTCAAAAAGGAAAAAGAATGTAAAACTTTCCTTTTTTACTTTATCAGTAATAAACTAGTGCAAAAGCCTTTGAAAATTATAAAGAAAAGAATAGAAATATATATACCAGGTTGAAACTCATCGCAAACGAAAGTTAAAATTTCAAACATAGAAAAATAATTTACGGGGGATCTAAGGTTCTATAGAAAAAAGTCATATAGCAATGTTGCAGGTAATGAAACGATTTATAACTCTTGTATACAGACTTTTTACACATAACCTCAAAATGTTTGTGAAAAACTCAAATAACCCAGTTTTTGGTTTTTTTTTCACAGAATAAAAATGTTAAAAATCATAATATTCAAAAAATAAATTTGTGAAAAAAAACTTTCTTATGAAGGGTGTTATAGCTTCGACGCAACTGAAGTTATGATTTTTTTTGCTTTGTATTATTAGATATCTAGCTTTAAGACATTTTTCGGAATATAGGTTTTTAATTTTTAAACCGCTAGAAACTTATGTAAGTGAGCATGCCTAATACTCACTTAGTTTCCCTGTCGCAAATGTCATTGCAAATAAAAATAATTAATATTAATATTTATAACAAATATTTATATAACGAAATATACAATATATAAACAAAAATATATAAATATTTGTGTGTATTTACTCACAAATGACGACTTGAGAACAAGCAAACTTGATAAGACATATTGTTTGTTGTCAAGAAGGCAGTGCATTTGTTGCGCCTCAAATTGCCCAAATTATGCAATTAAGTGAAATCGACAAACCGCAGCAGTGAAATTACAAACGATTACCTTGCAGCTTATGAATCGCGGACATACTTATGTAGGTATATCGACACAAATGCTTGGCATAATATCCAGCTGTGGTTATTTGATATTATCAATTAGTCATGATTGCCAACACTAAATTTGATTGCAGTTTAATATTGACTAGCCCATCTGGGGTTCGACAGTGATTGAACAAATTATATTTTCAATTTAGGTTCAGTTTTCATTTTCTTATTCAAAATATGTATGTACATACATATGTACCTATAAAAATGATTAGACAACGGTGATTATATGGTGCAGAGGATGTGCTATCATTAACATTTAATTTTAATAAACATCATAATATGTTTTAATTCCATTAATTATACAATAATAAAGGTGGGAATGTACTCTGCTATCTGCGATTCATTCACAAAAAATGTACAGAAATATTTAGCACAGATTTCAGAGTGAAAAGTTTCAAAAGTTTTATGACAGAAAAAGATTCGAAGGCGTGAAATCGGTCTGAATCTTATAGTTTCTATTCAAGGACACCTATAGGCTTATGCTTTCCCGAGAAATATTCCAATAGAAGAAGAATTTTAAATCAGATGCCTACGGGTCAAAATTGCAAATATTTACCGATGTGTACATTAGAGTATAAACTGAATTTAGTAATAAATAGTTTATACATTTGTGCTTTTGCAAGGTAAAAGTTGTGCGCTTGCAAAGTTTAAAGTTCAAAAGTGCTCATTGCTCGCACTGCATTGCAGTAGCGGTGAAAAACTGTAGCCCATGAAAAGTTTCACTATAACAATTAGAATTGAATGTAGGGAGGTGAACCACTTTTTTCCAACTCTTTATTACTTTTTTTTGTATATTGTTTTTTGCCTGGTGGAGGTGAGGTAATGCACTTTTTATTGAATAACACAAGTACGCACATATTTCTCTAAGGCTTTGTCAGTTACGCTAATGAATGCTCAGAAAATGGATAAATAATTGATATATTGTGTACATAAAATCTTGAATCTAGAATACCATTCACAAATAAAAAATTAATTTCCGCTTATATACTATAGTGGTTTCTTAAAATGAGCAGCTTCTGGGAACAAAAGGACACGCGCAAAATTTCAAATCGATATCGCATAGACTGAGCGTATATACTTGTAGAGACAGACGGACGAATATGGCTAAATCCACTCAACTCATGACGCTGATCATTAATATATGTATTTTATAGAGTTTCCGACGTTTCCTTTTTGGTGTTACAAACTTCGTGGCATACTTAATATCCACTATTCAGTGTATAAAGATGGTTTCCAAAAACCATAGAACTTGGTTTCTTACGTCTCTTTTACCACTGTATAACTACATAAGTGGTCTCACTAATTTTTAGTATTATACCCATTAAACACAGCACTTAATGTTATTTGCTGATAATAATATGTCTGTTAGTCTGGTGTGTATATAAATGCGGGTCCGTTGTTGTATATGTGCCCGACTGACTACATACATATTGTTTAGGCGTCGCACAGCTCTGGGAATATATACAGACAGAAATATGTATATATGTGTGTGCAGTTATGTAGTTTAGACCTGTCAAAATCACTTATCAGTATTTTGAAACACATTGTTTTTATAGATTTTAGTAGTGAGTATGTGCATTGTTTTTTATGCCCTAAGGCAACATACGGATTGATGAAGCACTAACACATGCATGTCTAATCTGTCTCAGATCAGCAGGCAGCGTATGATGGACCGGCGAGCAGTCGATATGTGCACTATATATGTATTGTATGTGCCTGTGTTGTATAGAAAACAGAAACTGGTCGCTTTCGTTGAAATTTTGACGTTTTATTCTTTAAACGTAGTCCGTCATCAGTAGTTCCTACACCCTCGCCAACGTTGCAGCTTGCAACATTTTTGGGACTTAAGCCTACAATTTGCACTCACCGTCCACCGCAGTTCGTTCTTGCCAGTCGCGATCGCTCAATCGTGCGCGCTTAAAGTTAAACACCGCAAACGTAAACACTTCAACTGCGACACCAAACCATCAAGTGGCTTGCTAGACACCGAAATGTGGCTACTCATACCGATCCTCTTCTACTCGGTCATTTTCCTCTACATACGTCACATTTACACATACTGGAAACGTAAGGGCTTCCCAACCGAACGTACCGGTTTGAATTGGCAATTTCTGAAACAAGTTTATCGGCGCGAGTTCCACTATGTGAGCGCCATCAACGAAGCATACAAGGCAGGCGGCGAGCGTCTCTTATATGGCGTATACTTCTTCTTTCGACCAACTTTGCTGGTGCGCGATGTCGCCTTGGCGCGCACTGTCCTCGAGATACCGCATGGACATTTCGATGACAAGCGCTGGCACTACATGCAAGGCTATCGCAAGATTAATTTACTCGAAAAACTGGCAGCGATTTTCAGTGTGCCGCGGGTGGAGGGCATGTTTCGGAATGTCGAAAAGGTGGCCGATCATATGGTCAAGCAAATGGATGCGATAAAGTTGGGCAATGAGCAACTGGATATGCAGATAGTTATGAGAACGTGAGTATCTCAGACCCGGGGCGTGGTGTCGGTGTAATTGAAAATGCGTTGCTGGGGTGCATAAGTGAAACAACAATAACTAGCTAGAACTTTGTTTAAATAAGTTAGGTATTGAAAACTTGTCTACAAGATGGACCTCAGAGACTTTGATTTACGAATGTTGTTTATAATAGAGACCCAGTCTATTTCGGATACCGAAAGTAGCTTAAAGTATGGCAAACAGTTGTATACGAATATAAGTTATGTACTTTTGAGTCGAATTTGAAAATTATTTTTAGGTTTACTTTTTTTTGAAAAATTAAATTTTTCTCACAAACTTTACTTTACAGCTACGTCATCAATGTATTCGCTAACTTGCTGTATGGTCTAGACACAAACTTATTCGAGCCGAACGATAGTGTCTTCAAGCGGTACATACAAAGCACGTTAAGAAATCGCGGCATCAACTCATAGTGAGTGCTTCCATTGAGTGTTTATGTTGCTATTTAATAGACACATAAATACTTATCCATACAAATATATATATAAGCACAACTGCTTTCTTTCTCAATCAGCACGTTCAATCATTTGCCGAAAAAGTCGTCTCTCACCTACCGGCTGCGTGACATTATCAAGGATAGCGTAGGACGCCGTGAAGATGGTGGCATTATACGCAAGGACATCATGCAGTTATTGGTGAAATTCCGAAACGGCAATAATTTAACAAATAACGGTAAATTGAGTTGGCATGTGGAGAATGTGTTTGGTGAGTAAAAGTGTAGTCATTTTGAAATAAATATACTACCAGCAAAAATTCGAGTGGAAATTTTTCAAACAAAAACCAATTAATACAGTTATTTATTTATAAATAACGCAAGTCATGATGGTCTAAGTGTGCCACAATTGATTATGACAATATTTTGCAGAGCGCGAGAAACTATTGTCTATTAAGAAGTTGTCGAAAATTGCCGAACGCTTTCTCAATATCGGCTACGAGTCCACCGCCTCAGCGGCTACGCTAACGCTTTATGAGATTTTGCAAGCGCCGAGCATCTACAAGAAGATAATTGAGGAAATACGTCAACTGAGTGTAGCAACAAAGAATGCAAATAATGCAGATAATAAATTGACCTATGGGGATATTGATAGCCTCCAATATTTGGGCGCCTGCATTAAAGGTACGTATGTACACTACTAATATTTATAAGTAGATTTCAATTTTTAATTTATTTCAACTGATCTTTAACACGAATTTGTTTAGAAACCGTACGCAAGTACCCGAGTGTGCCGTACATCGAGCGGGTCTGTTGCAAGAACTTTCCAATACCGAACAGTCGAGCAACAATCAATGAGGGCCGCACCGTAATGATACCCGTGATGGCAATGCAGCGCGATGAGCGGCACTTCAAAGACCCTGATTATTATAGACCCGAGCGCTTTTACAATGTTGAGAGCGGACCAGAGCTAGATAATTTTATGGGTTTCGGTTTGGGGGCGAGCGCTTGTGTGGGTGAGTATTGTGAAACCAAACATAATATAAAAACAAATTTTTGAACGTTATTACAAAAAATTTCATATTCAAAATCTTATGAACTAAATTTTGACATTTTTTGACGAACGGGTTAGAAAAGTTGAAATAAGAACTTGAAAATTTTGACATCACTTTCCGTTATAACAAAATAAATGTGCGGTGCACAAAAGAAACTTTGAAGAGTATTTTCTAAATTCTTAAGAAAAGTTTAACAAATTGTTAATAATAGTTATTCTGAGGTTAAATGAACTAATAGAGTTAACTACCACATATTCCTTATTGAAGACAGTGTCCGTCTGTATATCTGTATATACATAAAGCAGTCTCACAGTTTTTGAGATATCGATCTGGAATTTTGCACACCTTCTCTTCTCCCCAAAAAGCTGCTCATTTGTTGGAACCGCCGACTATAGCATATAGTTGGCATACAAACTAAATCATGGAAATCATGCCCCTGTATGGACAATTTTTTTATTTGATGAGATATATTCACGAAATGTGGCAAGTATGCAATCTCCGAATTTATGCTGATCGGACCACTATAGCATATAGCTGTTATGCAAACTGAACATTAAAAATTTAGTTCTTGTATGAAAAACTTGTTTAGTTCACAATATATCCTCATAAAATTGGACATAGATTATTACCAAAAGCAACGCAACAATATTCGAAGAAATTTTCCAAATCGGACTACTATATAATATAGCTGCCAACAAACTGAGCTATCAAAATCAAGTTCTTGTATTGAAACTTTTTATATTTGTGAAGGGTGCATTTTTATATTTGCAGCCAAGTTTAAACTTGTTTCATGTTTTACTAAAGTTCACCTCATAAATATGAAATTCAATATTAGAGAACCGTTATTACTTTAAGAGGTAAGAAACCCAAATAAATTATCTTTAATGTTTAACAACAATAAATAAGGTAGCTTAGGTATGAACTCAACATCGCCTTCCATCGTTCAAAATATTCAAGCAAAATATGTATAAACAATTACGAAATAAATATAGCAGTTATGAAATTTTCAAAATGTATTCTATAAAGTTTTCTTTTTTCCCTTCCAGCTCGCAATTTCGCCACTTTGGTTACAAAATTAGCAATTGTAAAGCTGCTGCTGAACTTCGATATGGAATACTCCCCGAATAAAGACATACAAATTGTTCACAATCCGGCGCCAGTCATCAAATGCAAAGATGGCTTTAAAATCAGACTGAAGAAGTACAAGAACAACACACTTTTGTAAATATTCCAGCAACAATTCAAGCGCCTTCAGAACCTTTAAGAATATCGTGCATTTATTTCAGTGTAATTATAAGATGTGTTTATGTTTGCGAGTTTACGAATAAATGTAAATAATCAAGTATATTATAACGAACTTTAATTGTCGAAACGCCTAAAAGTAGGCTTCTGCTCAGCCATAAAAATGACAATTTGTTGAGCAATTACACAAATGTCCCAAAAATTAAAAGGTATTCGCTAATGTTTACCTATGTGGGTACACAGGAAAGGTATGAATAAAGCAATTTGCTAAAATTATTGTTGTGTTGCCCCTAACGCGTGGTATATATAAATGTTGCTGCCGCCGCTAACGCACCTGAAAGTATGCTGTATAAATTAAACTCATAAATTTATGTTTTTCTGTGTAAATTACTTAATTAAGAAAAGTATATAAGTAAGTGAATGTGTTGTAATGGTAGCTAACTCTAAATAATATTTCGCTTTTACTTTATAATCTGGTTGGTGTATCACATTTTTTTCAGCTTGAGCGTAAAGTAACTGTCTATCAGTTGAGGTTATGTATTAACAGCAATGATATTAAATTACTAATTAATAGAAAGTTTCAAATTTGAGATTTAACAAATAAATTTAGAGTTAATTTTGTTGAAAGGCTTCAGTTGAATATCATGAGAATATTTGGGTTCAGAAATAATTAAAAGGGGCGCAGAAGAATAAAAGTTTAGCATGTGCGGTAGCTGCCACATAGTAAATTCAAAGGCAAAGTTTCTAATTTTCTATAAGTTCTGGCTGTTAATTTGAATCCTAAAGTAATAAGTACTTGAGATCAATTTGGAGGATACCACTAAACGAGAAATACATAAAAATAAATTTATTAAAAAATCGATAATAAATGAAGAAAAATTATGACCTCCACTTCAGACTTAATTAATACAATTTTTAATTATCATATAACATATATCTCTCAATAAGATAGTGGTTGCGCGTTTTTGGAACAGTAACTAAAAATACTTTTCGTAAAGATATTATTATAAACTTTATATTAAAAATGTATCTTATTTCTAGCATAGCACCTATCACAGTGATAATACTTTTATTATTTGTCAAGAGATATCAGAAGCTTAAGGGGGTCATCACATGTGATGAGCTCAAAAAATCGACTTTTTCATAAATTGCTTTTTTAATATGTCTAGAATATGGTAGTAAAGTGATTTTTAAAAATTCGAAGTCGTTTTAAAGATACAGCAGTTAGAAGAAGGAGCTGTTCGGAGCGTTGAGTTGCGCAGTTGAACTTTTAAACGCGTTTTTCTTAAAACTTTCCCATCGTATCTCAAAAACGGCTTGACCGAATGGTTTGAAATTTGTAATACCCAAATTTCCGACTTTTTTATTGCAAAAAAGGAAATACATATATTCACAACTTTTTTTTCAAATGTCTACCAAAAGTCCAAATTTATATTTACACTGTCGAAGTAGCACGGGAGTGCGTTTACAATGCTACAACTTTAATTAAAGAAACAACTGAATCTTTTGCATCAGTGGCAGATATTATTTTTCTTTTTGATTTCCATTTTAATTTTACTTTACAATTTGCTTACTTATTAATTAACACGCAAGTAGCGCTCCACTTCCTGAACCGCAGTGTGCCAATTTCTACAAAGTTCTTTTGCAGTTCTTAATCCAACTCAATCTCGATTTCTGTTTCCTGCACTTTATTAAACATTCCATAAATTTTTTGCATTCAAAATAAAGCTCTCGTAGAGGTAAAGAACCGAGTGAAAATCATTAACTAATTAAGCGTGAAAAAATTTTGCTCATCGCTGCAAGCCACTTCTGCCGAGTTTACAACTTCAACCGCTTTTGAGCGCGTTGCACACACTCAACAATTTATATAATGCCAATAAATGAAACAATGTTTGGGAAAAAATTTTAAAAAGCACTTGGCAAAACTAAATGCGAAGCAAAAGAAAGCCAGAGAAGCAACTGTAGTACACATAATTCCCATTGACAATGGCGATACCATGGGCTGCGCTTTTGTGTCAGCTAACAAGTGATGCATTTTTCCGGGCGCATTGCAGTAACAACTGTGGCAACAATATCATACCCACATACACACACATATATATATCCATATATGGTATATATATCTATATATATGGGTATGTTGGGCTGGTGTCACCGCTGCCGCGGTAATTGCTGCGCTGCCATGCAACAAAGTCGGCAGAACGCGTCGGCGGTTCGTCCCCAAAGCTCGAGCCACTTTTTTATTTGGGTCAAAAGGTTTTCAAGTAACTTTTTGTTATTATTATTTTTGCATTGTACTCGGTTTGCCGTTTCAAAAGCACTTCGCTCAGCAGCCTAGCGTCGAGCTAATGGTAGCAGTTGGAGAGACGTGTGAAGATGTGGAGTGTGGATTGTAATGATGCTGATGGCCCTTATAAATTAAAAACAAGCGAAAAATCGCGGCAACCTCTTAACAAGTACGACAATGTTGCTGTTTGTTGTTGTTTTTGATTTGTTTGTTGCTTTTCGCGCATCGCTTTTGAAAACGCAGACAACGGCTCTGTTGTCTAATATATAACCCACTTTATTCTGTTAATGGTTGTCGCGTGAGCACATACCATCTAGGCTTAGTGGGCTTATCTCTTCATAAAAATTTATATAAAAAAAATAAAAAACGTTGCACCGAAGTAATGGTCCGATGCGAACAATTCCTGTAGTGATTATAGCATTATCTTGAATAATAATTCTTACCAAATTCCGTGAAGACATCTCGTAAAATAAAAAAGTTTTCTAAACAAGGACTTAATTTTGATAATTTCTTCAGAAATTATACTGTTGCCTTGAATAATAATTCATGTCAAATTTTGTGAAGATATCTCGTGAAATAAAGAAGTTTTCCATACAAGAACTTGATTTTGATTGTTTGACATTACTTTTATTTCGTTCCGTTCCCACGATAGTCGGACCTAAGTAACCGGAATGGACCCGGCTTTTTATACGGCCAAGAATTATTAACTCGGCACCACTCCTCGAAATTACTTCAGGAATGTTTTCTACGGCTACAAGCTTTTATTACAGCCTTCAAAAGTGCTTATTATCCGTGTCATTTCTCTTTACACCTGAGGAGTGATTTTTCACATAAATTTCACTCGCACAAATACCCATAGGTATTTAACTACATACTCCATATAGATGGCAACAGTTTTTAATTTCAATATTTGTATTTGCTGATTCCTCAGGCATACAACAATTTGCATTAACGATCAAATATGCCTGCGCTGGGAGCAATGGAAATTGTTCACTTAATCCCCAGTGATTTTTCACCTTTCATTTCATGTTTGCATTGCTTCAATACCGTTGCCATACAGTTATATTAATTTTAACAACCAATCTACTTCTGGTTCCGTTGTTTATTTTTGCATTGTTGAATTTGTTGTGTTGCGTCTGTGACATTTGACCAATAAATATGATTTTTGTGCAATATTGAAAAAGAATTTTAAAGTAGCAATCATATAGCAATTTCCATTAAGGGTTGTGTTTTTTCGAAAATAAAGTATATTTCTTTGTATAAAATATAATGGACTTTACGATATTCCATACACATTTTGGTTTTTAAATCTCCGAATTTTTGCCAAGTAGAGTGTACTAAACTAATTTCGAGTAGGTTGATTCTTCTTTTTATTATATATAGTAATTCAAAATTAATTTGTTGCGATAAATTATGCAACACCCTAATGAGACCGCGTGTTCTGCTGCATGCCTGGTTGCACGTTTTGTGCATTGTGGTTTGCGGGCACCTGCGTGTGGTTGCATACAACTCTGGTCAATACACTACGTTATTGTGGCACCTCGCACTCAGCTAACTCCAACGCACAACAATTGGCGATTGCAGTTCAATCCAGCTCAATTTAAATGGGCTTTCACATTTACACTTACTTTATGCATAAATACAGTTCACGGACCCGTACGTATATTTAAAGAATCAAACAATCGACGCTGTTTACCAACACTGGTTATTGCAGCAATGTTTTTAATGCATTTTTAAAATCATTTCAACCAATTTTAGTTTAAACAAATAGAATTGTATATTTTCATGCTGTAGGCTGTTTTTATACCCTAAATAAGAGGATATACTCGTATTAAGTTTGCCATGAAGTTTGTAAAACATTGTAGAAAAATCTGAGACCCCAAAAATACACATACATATACATACAATATAAATTATTAGCATGACGAGCTGAGTAAAATTAGCCATGCCCAAACATATTGTTCAGATCGGCCCTGTATAACATATAGCTGCCGTACAAACTGATGGATCAATCAAGTCCTTGTTTATAAAACTTTTCTATTTGATGAGTAATCTACACGAAATTTATCTTAAATTATAACCCATGACAATGGTAAAAACACTGAAGACATTATACAGATACTACTATAGCATATATGTTATGTAGGTGTTATATAAGCTGGCCGGTTAAAATTAAGATAAAGCTCTTTTTATACCATTTCATGCTATAAAAAATGTACCCGTTAACGATATTATAGCTTCGGTGCGAATGAATTTAACGTTTTTGGTTTTTTCCCTTGTTTTCAGACGAAAATGTTTTCACACAAATTACAGGTAAAAAATAGTTTCTTTACTAAACATGGAAATTGCTAACGAAAAAAGGAATGAGAAAGTAATCATTTGTTTCCTCGATACTATATTTACTTAGTATACCATAAGTGTTGCCAATTTTTCTTTAACTATATGGTACAAATAATTTTAAACAATGTTTTATACAAACTCACCATTTTTTTTTTTTTGTTTTTCTGTTTAGGGTAGGCTCAATTTCTGTAATGAAAAAGTAATACAAATTTTTTATTAATGTAATAATTTATAACACATATACTGTGATAATCTAAGTCTAAATCGTAATAATAAAATAGAAAATGTTCAGAATAGATATGAATAGAGAGTACTAGATAAGAAGCAATAATAAAACTTAAGGCAATATTTGTAGTTATATTTCACTATTTTATTATTGACATTCATTATAGGTTCGATTCCTTGTTTCAATTATTATAAGGTAGGTCCCATATAATAAGATTGATCAACCTGAAGAAAGCAATTATCAAGTTGTTACTCAATTCCTCAAAAATGTACCCATATTGTAGAGTTCTTTATGTATGTTTGTAGTTTTACGAGGCCACAGATTGTTACGTCCACGAACTGGGGTTATTCAAACACACATAATTTTTAAACGTCAAACCTATTTGTTTATACAACAAATTACAAAATAAAATGTTCGCAAATAATCCTCCAACAATTTGGCAACTCTGACACAAAATTGGTTTAAATCGATTTATATCATATAATTTCCCATAATATTAGTTCCGATATGATGTCGTCATACCAATAACGTCCAGCCGATAACGTCAACCCAATAACGTTCTATGGTATATTCGTCTGTGGCTACATTCACTAAGAAGCTTGAACGTGTCCAATGAGCGGCTATCATCAGCATCTGCGGTGCACTTTGGACTACACCAGCAATGCCACATAGCACATTGTTGCGAAGGTCGCTGTAAAACACAGGGAAGCTGGGTATATGAAGGGTTCCAAGGAGAGTCCCGCAGAAACTCTTCAATTTCATACCTGAAAACTTGGACCACTGCGACGCAGAGGCTACTCCTGATGGCTATTTCTCTGCTCCCTTATTGATAAGATATATGTTGATAGAAAGAAGTCGCTGGAGAAGAGAGCAGGGAGCTTTTTCACGGATAGGTCGAAGCTAGAAGGGAAGGTTGGAGGGGAAGTCTTCTGTAAGGAGCTCTCTTTCAAGCTTAGCTTTAGGCTACCGGACACCTGTAGTTTTTTATAGGCAGAAGTGGCTGCTATTTAGGCAGCAGTACACTTACTGCACCTAAGCACAGTTTTTTTTCAGGGGGTGAGCATTCACACCAACAGCCGAGCGGCGGTACTAGTGTTGGACTCACAAACTGTGCGCTCAAAGTCAGTCAAGGAGTGTCTGCCCTCCCTGGAAATAACATCAAGCTAATTTATCATCATACTCGTTTGGGTGCCTGGTAATAGCGGAATCGGTGGAAACTAAAGAGCCGTTGAGAACGAGTTGGATCTCCGTTTTCATATTGCGTTCTAGCAGAGGACCTATGTGCTTTGCGTGAGCTCAGCAGGCGTTGATCGACGACCTGCTTCTGTGCGATTGCGAGATCTTTCTAACCTAGAGAAGAACGTAGGAGATCTACCGAACTGCTTGCCTTTAGCAAAGTTCATTTTGCCGCAATCGTAGGAGTTCTTATTGGGCATTGTCCTGTCCAATAGGTATTCATGCCGTAAGGCTAGAAATTCAATCGGACGCAAATAGTCAAAGTATGGAAGAAGGTGAGGTGGAAACATTCAGGAGCTTTCTACTTTATTGTCCAGCATTTGCTAGACTACGCTTGAAATATCTCAGCAGTCATAGTTTCCATGAACCAAAAGACATTGCCGAAACTTACATTACGTTACGTAGGCACGGGAAAAATTAGTACTAAAAATTTGCCACTGAATACTCTTAGTCTTGCGATAGTAAAGTACTAAATTATCTTTCCATAATATTCCATTACTAGGAACTTATAGACATTAATATTCGTTGCTGACTGCAAAATACTCGCTCATACAAGATGCAGCGACTACGTGAAGGGAATATTTAAAACAAATCATTAACATTGCAAAGGTAAAGCTGTTTTCGCATAGGTATACTATGAAAATTAAAGGTTAGCTTAACTTTGCGAGTATTCAAGTTTACTGTTACATAAATGGTTTGAATAATATTACAGATAAAACTTGTATGCTAAAGAATGTTTGCAGTTTCCATAACTATGCGTTGACTATATTTAAGACTACAATTATCTACAACCACGGGCACACACACATACATAGATATATAATTCATGAAAGAACAACACATTTATAAATCCCTAGACATTTTTATTAATTAAATGTTGGGAACTCACACTGAGCTGAGAGCGAATTTTACGTAAGAGTTCAACATCAACAACTATTTTAACCAAAACTTTGCTTTCTTAGTAGACACCTAAATAGATTCACACATGTATTGCATATATACACGGACTAATGAGATATGTCGACGGCTCATTATCCTCAGCACATTCTCACATTAAAAGGTACAATTGAACATTAGCGTAATTTTATGTAGCACCACTTCCAACTTCCAAAACGTTTTCAATGCTTACAAATCAAAGCGATGTCCTCAAAGTAACAGCGATTCGATGTAGTTAGTATTCCCGCTAAGACAACAATTTAATTAAGCACTAAGACGAACATCTCTTTATTAGAGTTGGCATTAATGAAAATATATGTAATGATAAAAACATCCCTGCAGTAAATTCAAATAGTTAGAAACTACTTTACCACTAGTTGTGGTTCGAGTTTTCCAATAACTGGTATATTTTCCAGTTTGATGGCTTTTAGATATATAAAGGGTGAAGGCTATCTTGGTGGCCAATCGACCCGCCCAAAACGTGAAATTATTTGCTCACTGTTCTCTCAATAAATCCATTTAAAAATTAGATAAACACATTTCTAGTTAAATAACGGATGGCGTAAGTCCATTGGCCAAATAAAATAACCCATTTGAAAATCGTTTTATTATGGGAAAAAGGCTTATATTTTCTGTCAAGTTGTATTCCACGCGTGCCTAATTACAAAGCGATGTATTTACTAACTAGTTTAATGCTTCACTGCATGTATTCACTAAACTGGTAGAATACTCTTTAGATTGGACACAGTTCTGAACCACCAATCCTCTACTATCTACTGTTAATATTTTATATTGAAAATTATGGCTAATACAATTGCATAGATAAAAAAAGTTGAAATAAATTCAGTGAAAATAAAGTTGAACAACATACATTTTCCGAACTTTTTAACAGAGATGCAAAAACATTGGCTACCCTAAATCGTTTGTATTTATGTCCTGAACAGGATATGCTATGTTTGGCACGAAGTTTGTGACACACAGAAAAAATCGTCGGAAATCCTATAAAATATATATACAAATGATCACACGTCCTTTTCTTCTCAAAAAGCTGCGCATTTTTCGGTACCGCCGACATAGGACTGCTATAGCATATAGCTGCCATACAAACTGAACGATCAAATTCAAAATCTTGCAGGAAATCTTTTGTATTTGTGCAGGATGTTATAGCTGCGTTACAACCGAAGATTTTTCTCGTTATATTATATATTTTATATTATATGGTCCGTCTTAGAAGATTATCTACTTAAAAATATCAGATATAATCGGCTGTTCGTTTGATTGACACGTTTTTACTTATTTCTGCCACGTTATAAACACTTTAATAACGGCGTACCTAATTAAGTGGCTTAATCAGTGAGAATAGCTCACAGAATTAGCAGAAAAGCTCAAAGATAGATAGGCAACGACATGATGAAGGCATTCATTTTACTTTAACAGCATTAAATATTGATTAGTAATTCAATTAGCTGTCAAGAAACGCACTCATATACATAGACACATGTATACAGATATGTGTGTAAAAAAAAATTTGTTATTCAGGAAGAACGTTTAAAAATCATGCAAATTTTTTACCAAAATTCGGTTCGGTTCGCGCGACTCTTCGCGAGCTGCGTCCAATATTCGGTTAATATAATCGCCCAGCAGAGTCGGTTAATGGAGCAACCATGGATCAGTTTCTCACTACATTTACGCTAGTGGGTAATGCGCATCCTCCTAGATGCCGTACAGTCCGCACCGAAGACGCTATTGCAACTATGGAGTCTTCTTCGATAATCCATCCGAAATCGCGCGCTATTACTTTATGAAAGATTTTGCGGAAGAATCTTGATGTGCGGGCTTACAGAATCAAACTCGTGCAAGAATTGAAGCCAAACGACCATTAAGCGCGTCGGACGTTCAGTGAATGGACTTGAAAACACATCTCTAAAAAAACACCCTTTACAATTAAGTGAAAAAAATTTTAAAATTATTATTTTCACAAAACAACAATTTTATATTCCGTGTCACCGTGAAATAATGAAAACATAGTACAAAAAATTTTATCAGTAAAAAAAGCAACAAAAGTGGAACATAAAAGAGAATTAATCATAGAATTCCCCTTGACAGTGAAAACAAGCTCCAGTGCACACATACACACGCTCTTACATATTTACATGTTATGTTATGTGCTTGTTTATTGCGGAATGAAATATATTTATGTATGGACGCATGTAATTACTGGCAACACCGGCTGGTAGTTGTGTGAGCAAGTGTGACTAGAGCTACATTAGCAAAATACCAGTACTTACGAGTATGTTTGTGTATGAGCGAATATAAGTGCTTATGTGCGCATAAATGTATGTTATGCGAGAGTGTGTTGTACTCTGGTTTATCAATGCTTTGCTCAGTCGAGCGCATTAGAGGACTGACCACCAAACCAAAGCAAGAAGACATTGGAGCGGAAAATTATCAACACAGAAAACGGAAGCAAGCGAAAATGAGACCGAAGACACACACAGAAAATGGGGAAAATAAATCAAAGGGAAAGTAAAACAAAATAAAAAAAATTGGAGCAAAATGAACAGTAAATTAAGCACTGAAATCAGTTGGCAATTTAAGGGTGTGCGGAACGCTGGATAAAGTGGGAAATTTTACAAGCTTAGAAAATCTAGGGCAATACCAAAAGCTTAAATGTTTTTCGCAGGGTATGCTTATTGCCGTCAACCCCGAACTTTAGTGAAATGCCCAAAAATGCTGAATTTTTTAATAAAAAATATTTCAAATAAATTAATTGAAGAGAAAAACTACT